TAAATATTTTTTCATCTGTGGTTAAAGTGAAAGTTTATAGAACCAGTTGGTTTCCACTTAACCATACACATTTTGTTTTATGACATGAATTACAATACTCACAATGTAGCCACACTCTTCTATTTTCTCTCTAGATTCTCATTTCCACTTATCCTTCAATCAGTCCTTCAATTGTACCTCTTCCTGCCTTCTCCCTGGGCACATGCTTCTCTTGTGACCTTACATGGCTGGTTATTCTAAGGAGTGAGGGCCTGTCTTGTGTAATTATCCATCTTACAGGCCTGTATATGGTTTGGCTGAAGGTTGAGCCCTGGGAGGTGAGCTTTGTACCAGATTTGAAGGGTGGCTGAGGGCCATAGTCTTGGGGGGGGGTGCCACCAGCCTCAATTGGGTCATTTGAATGTGTTTTGGTTTTGTTCCCATCTCCTGTGTCCCCCTGCAGGACCCTCTTCTGTGTTTCCTTTGAGAGTGGTCAGCTGTGGTACCTGGGCGTCATCAAGTTCTTCTGGTCTCAATTCTAGTCCAGAATTCTGTGCAGTTCTAAGCCCGCGACCCAGGGTGGTTTGTTAAGCAGCAGGAAGCTGGCAGAGGACAGTGGCAGGAGACAGCCAGGAGGCTGGTGTCTGCGAGGGGTGCTGGCAGGAGATCAGAGTGTGGGGTCTCCAGCCTTTGGCAGGAATTTGCAGTCACAAGAGGCAATCATCAAGGGGTGAGCTTGGGTGGAGGAACCTCCCACCTCCCTCGGAGTGGGCTGCTCAGCTGGAGAGAGCAGGGGAGGCGGAGGGAGAAGAACTGGGGCGTGGGGTTCCCAGAGCCAAAGGAAGAAAGGGAGTTAAGGGGAAGGTGTGATGGGCACCTGTCTCCTGTTGTCGCTGTAACAAATTACAGTAAGACTCATGAAAGCTGCAGCCTATCAGAGAAGGAAAACACAAATATTTTCCATCAAATAAACAAGCACGCAAACCCACAACACCCACAAACCACGAAGTGATGAGAAGGTAGCCCTTCCACAGGAAAAACTTTTGAAACCAGGAAAACAAGGGCCTTCCACTCAGTTCTGGCTCCCATAGGGCTCAGGTGCAGCCTCCTGGTGGCAGGTGACAGCACAGACATAGCTTCTGGAGATCCACAGACTGCAGGGACCTTCCGGGCTCAGATCCGGGAGCCGGCTGCCCCGCCACTCTCCACTGGCCTCCGTCCACTCACTAGCCACCATTCACTCCCCGCTGGCCTCAATCCACTCCCCACTGACCACCTTCCACTCCCCACTGACTACCATCCACTCGCTGGCCACAATCCAATTGCTGGCCACCATCCACTCTCTGCTGACCACCATCCACTCTCTGCTGACCACCATCCACTCCACACTGGCCACCATCAACTCCCCACTGGCCACTGGCCATCATCCACTCCCCACTGACCACCATCCACTCGCTAGCTACCATCCACTTCCCACTGGCCACAATTCACTCGCTGGCCACCATCCACTCCCCATTGACCACATCCACTCGCTGACCACCATCCACTCCCCACTCCCCACTGTCCACTCACTGGCCCCTGATTTATCCTCTTCCCTTTTGCAGAATTACATCTCAGAAACAAGAAAACAAAAATCCTCAGAGTTGGGCCAAGAGCAGTATCATGGTCGATAGATAACAGACTGACATTGCCAACAATTTAAATTTACTTCAATCCAGAATCAACATCCATGGTATCTCAACTGAAACTCATTGTTGTCAAGTTGATGCTGTCTCATAGCTATTCCTCCAGCGGATTTCCGGGGCTGTGTATCACATAGAGAGAAATTGCCTGCTTTTTCCCAAGGAGTCACAGGTGGATTTGAACTGGCTGCCTTTGTGTTAGCAGCACACCTACTGACTACACCGCTAGAGCTCCCTGTCATAGCAGCAGCAGTCAGGAAACAAATGGTATGTTGCACTGGGCAAATAAATCTGCTGTGAGGGACTTCTTTAAAGTGCTCAAGAACAGGGATGCCAGTTTAAAGCCCAAGATGCCCCTGACCCAAGCCATGATGCTTCTAATTGCTTCATATGCATTGAAAGTTGGACAGTGAATAAGGAAAACCGAAGAACAGATGTGTTTGAGTTCTGGTGCTGGCCACGGGCACTGGCTATCCATGACTGTCAGGAACAAGTTAACTGCGTGGGAAAGTGCAGCAGCAAGGAGCGTGTCACTTTGTCTCACAAACTTTGGGCATGTTGTCAGGGGGACCCAGTCCTTGGAAAATGATGTCATGCTGGAAAGGTAGTCAGGGAAGGGGGACACCTGCAACTGGATGGACCCATATGATCTTGGCCACCGGCTCAGGCCCGGTGAGCTCCCTGGAGCGTGGGTTTGCCGAGTGCACCTGATGGCACCTAACAAGCATCTGCAGGCACAGTGACCCATTGCAGGGTCCCTGAGTCAGCAACTCAAGGCCAAATCTCATCATCAAAATGATCTAGGTCCAGGGGAAGTGGCTCTGGCTGAGGGTAGAGGGAAGAAGGGGAGTATCCTGGGTGTCACCATGAAAAGGGCTTGGACTCCCCGTGGACCCCGGCCGGCCCCCGTCAGCCTCTCGCCATTATGGGGGACTCAGTGAGGGCCCCCAACTCCTTCAGCACAACTATCTCTCATAGCAGGACTCAAGACCCCAGTGGTCCCATGCCCATTCTACAGAGGGAGAAGCCGAAGCCCAAGGGACCTGGGGCCATACAACACCCAGCCTTTGGGGTCACGGCCACCCCCGCCTCTAATCCCCTGAAACAGGCACAGGAGGGACCGAGCACAGCTCTCCCAGACCTTCCAAGGCCGCCATCTCTACGAAAACAGGCAGCTACATCTTTCTCCCGAGAAGCGGCTGCGGACATTGCACCACGACCTTTGAGTTAGCGGCCATGTGCTTAATCCACTGCGCCACCCAGACCCCACCCCCGCTCGGAGGGCCAGGCACCACCGAGACGCGAGTCCTCCAGCCCGCCTAGAGCGCCCGCGGAAGTGCCAGGAGGGCGCAGGCAGGAGCGGACCGGCGGAGGGCTGAGCGGACGGCACTTCCGGCCGGAGTTGGCGGCTCGTGGTCCGGAGGTGAGCGGGGCCCGGGCGGGGCGGGGCGCGGGGCGGGGGGCGGTCGTCCGCTGTCAGGCCGGGGCGGTCGGGGCAGAGCGGCGTCCTCCCGCCACCCGGAGCCGCCCGCGGCAGCAGCGCCCCCTCCCGGCCGAGTCTGAGCTCTGCGGGTCCCCGGAGCCCTGCGCTTCGCGCCTCCAGCCCGGGACCTGGGTCTCAGCTTGCCGTCCCGAACCCCGTCTCCGGAGACCCCGGCCGTGACGCCCGCCCAGCATCCTCCCGGGCCTGCAGCCTCAGAGGACGGGGCATCGCCCCCAAACTCGCCCATGGCGCGGGAACGCCTTCGCTGTGCACAGTCTGAGCCCAGCAGACGGGGTCCTCCTGCGTGACCTGCCCCAGGGACCCCGTCCCTTCTCCCCAAGACCCAGTTGCACCCTGCCTAGCCCCTTCCCGCACGACCCCTAGCCCCCTCCCCACCTGCACCCCGCCC